CTCTCTCTCTCTCTCCGTAGACACACACACACACACACACACACACACACACACACACACGCACGCACACTCATCAATCGATCAATCTATCATTCAATCAATCACACAAGCAATCAACCAATCATTCAATCAATCAATCAATCATAGAATCAATCAGTCAATTTCCTTCATTGATTGATTGATTGATTAATTGGTTCATTGATTGAATGATTAATTTAAGTTTGTGTGTTTGTGTGTGTGTGTGTGTGTGTGTGTGTGTGTGTGTGTGTGTGTGTGTGTGTGCGTGCGTGCGTGCGTGCGTGTGTGTGTGTGCGGTCATATTCGTTGACTGAATGATTCGTTGACTGATTGATTATATATCTAGATTCACATTGTGATTGCCTACTCTTGTCTTACTCTCGGCGCTGTGCAGACCTTGACATTCTGTGATGCTGTCCCTGCTCGATCGTCGCCCATTGAGGCATCTCCGTAGGGGACACCCTCTGCTCGTCAAAGCGTCAGTCGATCTCCGTGTGTTGCGCAGGGGTTGTTGGGCGTTTCACCGCACAGCAGTGGTCCAGAGGTCCGGTTAGGGAAAAGGCGCCGTGGTGGCGTGTCGCCTGCGACAGGCGGCGGCGTTGGCCCGGGCATGACACACATTTCGCCTTTTGCTAGTGTGCTGGGGGCTTCTCCACCAGGTGTGCCCGCGGTTCGTAACGCCTCCTCATATGGAGGTGTGTTTGGTGGTCCGTTGCTGTCGTCTCCGCTTCTGCCTAGACGGTTGGACTATGCGGCCACGATTCCTCCGGCACCTGTATGGTCATATGCGGTTGCCCCGTCATGTTCCGCTGGAGGCGCTTCTCTTTCAGGAGATTGCAACGACTCTTGGCGTAGTCCAGCCGTTTCCCATCCACGAGTCGTCGGCACAGCGGCCGGTTCAATCGTGGTGCCGCCTAAGTCTCCCTACGTCGCTCCTGATTCCACACCTCCGGTTGACGATGTCGATAGCTCTGCGGCAGTCGGTGGCACGCTATCTTCGGCCGGCAACAGCATTGTGCGTGTGTGTGTGCGGGACGGGTGTCGGAGGCGGTTGTACGCTTTTCATGATGCTATGGCCGGTGTGGATGACCATCGTGGACCGATCAGCGACGTTATTGATCGGTTGCTCCATTGGTCCTTGTCAGCCATCCGTGCGGAGTTTGGTGTTGGGGTAGCGGGTGAGATTTCTTCGACGTTGCCATCTCGGGTGTGCGGTCGAGATTTCACGTTGCGTTATTTGCCAGACGATTCCGGTGCTGACTACGGTCGCGAGGGTTCACACGGTTCAGCGAGCGGAGGGTTGGGGGAGTCGCAGGAGGGATCGCAGAACTCGTTCCCGTCGTCGTGTCGTGTATCGCAGCGTAGTGACAGAGGGCGTGGTAAACCCCGCAGCGCGGGTCGGTACACACAGACACCTATCCGGCCGCAGACGTGGTGGGACAATTGGGAAGGTGTTGACCAGTGCGGTCCAAGGCCGGAAACTGACCGTGGCAGTGTTCAGGAGGCGATGGCACTGTGGAGTGAACCGACAGCGCCGGATGTTGTGTTTCTCGAGCCGGTCAAGCTCCTTCTGTTGCTGGCCATGTTTCATCTATATTGCCCGTGACACAAGGGCTCGTGCCGTGTGTCTGTGGAGTCCGTCTTCTATCCAGCGCAGCTCTGTAAGCTGACGCTCGTATGCGATAAGAAATGCAAATGGACGTGGCACACGACACTCGTGACCACGAACGTCTATCACTCGCGACTGCAGCAACAACTCTTTCATGCGGCGGTCACCACCGGTCTGACGTTCACGCTCCTCGACAACTTTTGTGTTGGTTTAGGGATGTGCTCAGTGCACAAACCCACGTTCTACAAGTTTATGCGCACAGAGGCGGGAGAGGCGGAGGGGTGGAATGCCAAGGTCGTACGACAGGGCATTAAATATTGCGAGCTTGCCATTGACACTGTGATGCGCCGTGGTGAGCCAGTGACATTGATGGTCGATGGTCGATATGACTCTGCCAGAGGTGCGCAACATTGCACTGTCACCACGGTGGAGTACGAGACTCGGCTTGTTGTGGGTGTGCACACTCTCCGTCCGAGCATCGAAGGCAAGGCGTCGAATGCGCTTGAGATGCCAGCCGTCATGCAACTTTTGCGAGGGCTGATGGAGAAGGGGTTGGAGATCCGATGTGTTGTCTCAGATGATTGTGTCGCGCTGGGACCGCAGTTGCGAGCTCTGAACATCGAGTGGCAGAAGGATTGCCACCACAAAATTAAAAACATTCGCAAACACTTCCAGAGTATGCTGCAACTGAAGGAAGCGAAGAAAGTGAGTAACCCGCACGAGTGTGTGTCGGAGGCGCACTTTATGCAGTTCACGAAGAAGCGGCTGATGAAGGCGTTGGAGCAGCGTTTCGGACATGGCGTCCTCACACCTGCTGAGGAGCGGATGAAGAAATCGGATTTCGTCACTGTCGTTATGCAGAAGATGTACCCCTACGGATGGAGGTCGAACGCTTGAGCATTGGAGACTTATCCTGACGGCTTGACAGAGTATCATGCGCATGAGGTCGGGATATGGTTCCTCCGCGCTTGTCAGCTGTGCAGGGACGAGGGTGGAGACGCCAACAGTTTGCACCGCGATATCATGTTGGTCGCCGCTCATTGGGCTGGTGATCATTCGGGATGCGTCGGTGGTAGGGAGGTTTTGTGCGAGAAGGCCGGTGGGCCTGCTCGATTACCTTTGTATAGCTGCACGGACACGGTGTACGAGCTCGTTCTGCGTGTTCTTGGGAAACAATGCAGCACTAACATCACGCCGCACTACGTCGAGTTTCGACACACATCGGCGGTGGAGACTTTTCAGGGCACCATCATCATCTATGCGAAGAAGTCGGTGCATTTCGAGAAGTCGTACTGTGTGCGTCTTGCGATCGCAGTGATTCCGTGGAACAATCACTGCTGGCGCGACCCAGCCGGGTACATTGCTCGCATAGCTGCGGGTACTTCCATACGTCCGAGACTAGGCTTCCGTCGATAGAACGAGGAGGAGGTCGACTCTTGGCAGGACAGGTTGTCGGCATTCGTGTTCGGTTTGGCTCGTGTTTCTGACTGGGCTCGAGAGCTTCTGCGACAGGAGGTTTGTCCTTATGGAGTCGGGTCATTGCCGCGCGATCTGTTCGTCACGGGTGAGGGCGACCCAGTGGAAGTCGTTGATGATGCTGCCTCCGGATCTGACCATGAGGTGGGGGGGGAGAACCGTATTTTCATCATCGGTCACGTGGAGGAGGATGTGGTGTCTGCATGCGACGATTTCGAGCCGACATCGAGCTCGGAATCTGAGGGTGATGATATAGAGTTGTTCAACGTTTGATTGGTTGAATGAATTTTTCGTTCACCTAACTTTCATCTGCTGATCCGATAATCATTGCGCACGGCGTTGTTCTCACACGTCTCATGGTCTCTTGTTTGTTACACTATATTTTTTCCTACTTTTTTTTTAATGTTGTTATATATATATATATATATATATATATATATATATATATAAAGAAGAGGATACTATTTTGTGTGATTCTAGTTTGTCTGTCTGTCCTTTCATTGTTGTTTTTTTCGTCCATCTTGTTTCTTGTACTTCACATGCTTATGCTCTTAGGCAATAATTCTTTGACAATATATAGCCGAACCAATTCTAAGTTACACGTTGATCCAATAATACAATGACATTCAGTTGACAATAAATGAATGAACTTCAGTGGAGAGAACGAGGATTAAAATCAGTTAGAGTCCATAGCCAATAGTACAATGGCATCCAGTTGCAACAATAAATGAATGAACTTGAGTGGAGAGAGCGAGGATTAGAATCGTATTGAGTCCATAACCAACAGTACGATGCCATCCAACTGTCGTATTTAGTCCATAGCCAATAAATGAATGAACTCATATAGTTTGGAGAGAGATTGAGGGAGAGAGAGAGAGAGAGAGAGAGAGAGAGAGAGAGAGAGAGAGAGAGAGAGAGAGTCACACATCCTCGGCAACGGTCTCTCGTCCACCTGTTGTAAAGTATCACAACCGGTATAGTATGACACACACGCATATTCAGACTCATGGTAAACACGTACTCACACACATCCTATCCTCAACACTGCAATGATGAGGAAGACGGTATAATGCTTGAACCATTTACCGCCTCGCGCATCGACGTGGCCACGCGTTTTGTGGAGGATCGCATTGCCGCAGATCAAAACCTCGATTGACTGTGTCTGGCCATCGTTCGCGCATTGCCCTCTCGAACTCATCTGGCAATCTCTGTCTGAACACGACGAACCCGCACAGTCGAGAAAAAGCGACATATCCATGGTAACGATTTTGCTTTGGTTCGAGATTTGCACGACCAATAAGCAGATTCATGCACTGTTGCAGATGCTCCTCCAACCCAGCAAAAGTCATAGTTTCTTCCAAAAGCGTTGTGGGCCCCGACCACCGACTCCTAATCTCGACGACTGTCAGCTCCTCGTCACGGAAAGGATCAGTATCAGTCTCATTTCCACATACAACTGTGTCGGCCCGCACGCCAGCCCTGCGTCGTCGGCGGTCCATGTTTGGGAAAGGGTGAATATTGTTCTGCCGCTTATGTGTTATTTTTTAGAAATCTACAAAACAGAACATTAAGGGCACCGATTACCTTAGTACTGTACCTTCATATAATGCTAAAAAAAAAATTTAAAACGCAAAGCAGCTGAAAAAAAAAACCGAAAACATTTAACAAACACATGGGAGATGACAATTGCATATGTATACACAAGATGTACAATCATTGAAACCATGAGTTTCTCTCTCTCCAACAAGGAAGAAACATAGCAAAGAAAATTAATGGTACTCATCGCCGGATCCCACAGCAAGGATAGAACATGACAGAGAAATCCTTCCCATTGGTTACAAAATAGGGCGGTGACACGACCAGGTGCCAGAAGCCGTCCCGAGCGACCGTCCCGTAGTGTGTGTATAGTATGCGATGCACTAGGAGGTAGACGATATCATACATCAAATCATCATCAACCGGTTTGAGAACAAAGGTACTGAAGTACATAGTCGACTTAGACATTAACACACGAACGTGTTCAATGGCGTGGTCACGAATATAAGTCTCAGTAGTGAGTCTGACGACTCGGTCCTCCTCGACGCTGAGAACGAAATGACGATCCACCATCTTGTCTCTATTGCGGTGCCCCACTGCCTCGCCGACAGGATCTATTACGAGAGTCATTGATTCGTAATGGTATACGGTGTCGCCGCCTGCCAGTTTCGTGGTGTGGTAACATCGGAAAATCGTTGGCGGACAAGGCATCGTCGCTTCTTTCGTATGGCGTATGGAAACTGCTGCAATTCACGGAAAGCGACATCGTAAGTTATGAACCCAACACTCGAACAATGAATAACGCAAACATGATGTTCTAGATGTACCGTACGGGGAGGGGGGAACGCCCTTTATACATATATATATATGGGAGGAGCGGGTAGTCGCGGTCCCGAACAAAGTTGAATGTTGAAAACCTTTAAGATTTTGTTTCTCAACCCACCTGTTTCGGACTACGCAAAGACGATCGAGACGAGGGTTTGTTGACACTTTCACACTGTTGTCCGCAACCGTCCTTTGGCCACACACTGCGCACATCTCCGTGGGGAAAACTACGGCGTTGCAGCGGGGGGTCGAGTTTGGAGAAAAACCGTGCGTTGCTTGCTAACCTTTCCACATGCTCGTCCGCAACCACTGACACGATGCGTCTTAGCAAATGACCAAGCATGTCGACGTCGGGGGGTTCGCAGGCGTCGGGAACGACATCCGAAAGTTTTTTTGCGTGCATGACAACCTCATCAAGGCAATCATGGGTGTCGTACCCAAGCCCCGCCACGACCCTCAAAGCGAGGGTGTCGTCGATGAATGCGTAGTACACACGTGTTTTCGTGGCGACAACCGCTTCCTTGTATTCAAAGTCTTTTTCGTTCTCAGTATTGCGCTCACATACTGTCTCTCTCACGACGATTTCCTTTGCATCCACAACCTCTTTCACAACAACAACTACGTCGACCATGTTCTGCCGCAGGGTCGAATAAGTGAACCTGACAATTATGAACAGTCCCAATGGCCGGGCGACGACACTGGAAAGATGACAGCAATACAATGCGTACGATAAACGACGGACACAATGAGTCGAGTCTCGCGGCTACAAAAAAAAATAATAATAATAACGAACAGTGGTACGTTGGTTGGTTAGTTGGGTGGTTGGGCGGTTGGGCTAGGTGGTTGGTTGGGTGGTTGAGCGGATGGATGGGTGGTTGTGTGGCTGGTTGCTTGGTTGGTTGGGTGGTTAGGTGGGCGGTTTGGTGGTTAGGTGGGTTGGTTGGTTGGCTGGTTGGGTGGTTAGGTGTGTGGTTGGGTGGTTCCGTTGTTGGGTGGTTGGGTGGCTGGGTGGGTGGTTGTGTGGTTAGGTGGGTGGTTGGGTGGTTAGGTGAGTCGGTTGGTTGGTTGGGCGGTTGGATGGGCGGGCTCCAAAACATGGGGTGGTTCAGTGGTTGGTTGGGGTTGGCAGTTGGTTCGGTGGTTGGCGTGGATGGTTGGGTGGTTGTGGTGGTTGGTTGGGTGGTTGGGAGGGTCGTACATTTGGGTATTATGG